TAATAGATTTACTTAATTAGTAACCATATTTGTTTCATGGAAAGAAGTGCTACGCAAAGCCTTGTATACCTCTTGAATATTGACAGGATATTACTCAATGTTTGTACTACTTATATAGGGCTCTTTGAAGGATGATCTAGATATAAAGTGGGTTTCATTCTCAATGAACAAACATCAGTACTTGGTACTTCGACTTCCTTTAATGTGAAATGGTGGTTCTTGAAGCAAAGTCACGCACTTGGACTGGGAAATCATTTTTTTGCTTTGGGCTGAAGAAAAATTGGATTATATAATGGGTCCTATAAAATCCTGCGGTCTCTTACATAGATGAATATGTGCTTTCACACAAGTCTAGATGAATGAAATGAAATAAATACACAGGTCACTGTATATTTTCTTTGGTTTAAATGCAATATTTTCAGTCTCTTGGACTAGCAGTGTTGATGCATGAAAGGCTATTAAAATGTCCATATGACTCAAATAATAGGTTATTCTGACAATGTTTCACAACTTCATTAATTACTAGTTATTTCTATCAACAGTCCGCATAGAACCGTCAAGGTTGCACGCCAACAAGGCAGAATGACAAAACAAATCAGCTTAAAATATCCTACAGTTCAATGATATAAAGCATCTTGGTTGAAATGCTTAAACAATGTTTATGCAAAAACAACTAACTTGTTTTTAGTTGGAAAGATCTGAATCGTAGCATAATCCAGAGATGCATCAGGATCTATTCCGCTGTCCATCATAAGAACCTGAAAGGAAAGAAAACTTCATCTTTGCAGAAACAGAAGACCAATCTCACATCGTGCCATGCTTCAACTTATTTTTTCAAGTATATGCATTACTTTAACAAGCATTATAAAAAATAAGTGCTTGCTATGGATCTAAAAAATACACATCAATGGAACTAGAACTCTTGATCTTCTGTTATATATACTGCCAGTTATATTTATTGACAAATACCAAAACTCAAGACTGACAAAACAACAAGCTCAAAGAAAAAGGACAAGGAGGTGCAAGAACAGGAAGGATAAATAAATATTTAAATCCCAGGAAATTTGTGCACGGATGGAGAGATTAAAATGAGATATCCATTAAAAATCTTAATTGCATTAAACATAAAGCTAAGAAGTATAAATCAGATTGTTATAACATTCAACCCAACAACAACAACAACAACAACAACAACAAAAAATAGAGACAATGAAGTGAGTGATAGACAGACACAAAGATGTAGACACCCAATTTAAGTTGATACAGTGAAAGTGATTCACAGCCGGACAAACATAAACGAAAACGAATGATGCTACATTTAAAAAGAAAAAAATAAATAGCAAGCTAAAAAGTTTAGTACTAGCGTAGAGGAGTATGTCAAGAAATAAAAGCGGATTGGTTATTAACAGTGGCATGGGATCCAATCTGTTTGTCAGAAAAAAATTATTCCATAAACAACTTCATCATCTACTTACTTGCAAAATGCTCTCAACCCCAATGACAAAATTCAAAATTCAGCACTCATTGATACACAGACTTGAGACTGAACAACAAATAACCAAAAAGATAAAAAAAACATATAAATGTTCAGCCGAGAAAACAATTGAAAGAGCAGCCTTCTGTTAGGTGCAACTAAGAAGGGGGATTTATTTATTATTTTAGTTGATCTGTGCCAGCATAATTAAGAGCAAACTAACTACCTTTTACTAGAAAATTAAGCATCGAATCAGATCTAGGCGATGAAATGTTGAATCCTACACTAAACAACAGGACAAAAGAAAGAAAAAACAAAAATTTAATAAAGAAAAGAAGGGTCACCACTCCACCATTCAGCACCGACAGCGAATTTTACAGTCAAGGCAAAAGGCATTTAGAATCTAAAGAGACGTTCACTGATACAACAAAGCATAGAGATAGAGCTTGTGCTGCGTTACAGAAAATGGGAGTGGCAGGTAAAGAAATAGAGAAGAGAAGGAACTACCAACCAAAAAGAAAAGGGCCCATTTGAGTGAAAAAGAAAAAGGAAAGCACGAAGTTAGCTCACCTTGAGTGAAGAAGAGAGGAGGGAGGGTAATGGGGGCTGATGAGCTCAAATTCTCAGTGGGTTGGATAGCACGAGATCTTGATGAATGAGGGGGAGGAGCTTCGTCAAGAATCATGCCATGTGTGGATGTGTGGCTTTTATTTCTTTAATCTTTATTCCAACGTAAAAAAGACACTCTGCTACTGGCTCCAGAAGAGAGAGGATAGAGAAATGGCAGTAACTCCAAATATTACGACACCCAACTAACTACTCCTGTAACTTACGGTAAGAACTAAGAAGTTCTTTAAACATAAAGCATCGCTTAGCTAAGTAAAGCGTGGAGATTGCCTTTTTATTTATTTTTAAAATTTATTTTTGAAATAGTATGTTAAAATAATTTAAAAATATAAAAAAATCATTACACTATAACGGGATTCTCACACACGGGACAGAGAGTACTCATGCACTCGCCAATGTTTTTCTCTGGAATTGGAATCAATATAAATATAATATATGGCACTCTTTTAAAATACAATAAAATATTAGCTTGATTTTGGATGGATATTTATATTAAATCATGTTACAATTTAATTAAAAATAATATAACATGGCATTTAGTATCATTAAACCATTTAAAATAATATATATTTTACAAGTTGAGAATCACGTTATATTTGGTGGGGTCATTCTCGTGGTGGGACAATAACAATAGATCCTCAATTAATTTTTCTTCTTCTTTTTAATATGATATTAATAGTTATTTTTTATAGTTGATTATTGTTGAAAACTTTTGTTCATTTTATTTACTATTAATGTTGTTTTTTATTATATTGAACTTGTTAAATCCATACTTGAATCTTAATTTTTATTTTCAACTTATTAAATCCATACTTGAATCTTAATTTTTCTTTTTTATTAATGTTGTTTTTTTATCATATTGCACTTATTAAATCCATACTTGAATCTTAAATTTTATTTTTATTCATTACAAACGTTACCTAGCTAAACATTTTTATTTCATTAAAAAAATGTATAAATAAGGTTGCCTAAGTCTCATCTATTTAACAATAATTATTATTATAATAATTTTAAAATTATATTTAGTATGACAAGTCAACTTGAAATTTAATCAATCCAAGACTAAAACCAATAAGATTGAGAAAAAAACAAAGAAAGGAAGAATTTGATGTGATGTAGTTGATTCTGACCTGATAACCTAGCAAAATTCGGTTGTAATTATTTAACTTTTTTTTGTTTTTTATTAAAATAATATTATTTTAATTTTTTTTAAAAATTAATCCAAAAAACTTGGAGATCGGATAAAAACCTGCAATCCAGGTCTCAAAACTATGAATGCTATCCTTCCCAAGTGAGAGTGGTTGTGGTGCGCGTTGATTGCGCGGAAATCTAAACCCAACAAAAAATAGTACTTGCAGGACACCAACGCGTATTGGCGATGCGTGATTGACACTCTCTGTTCGTGCTCTGTCGCCTCTCTCTCTCTCTCTCTCTCTCTCTCTCTATATTATTAATCAATGATCATGAGATTTGAAGTTGTTTAAAGTTGTGTTTTATTTATTTAATTAAAGTTTTCACATCGATGCTTTCCCTGTTCTTCGAGAGTACAAATGACCTCCCATTGCTCCTCCCAATTTGCTGTCACCCTTTTCAGATTTCAAACTCATAAGCACCATTCAATTAGTACGGAAGACGTGGTTGAAAATATAATAGTTTTTATTTTTAAGTTTTTTAGAAATCTAATAAAATAATATTATTTTTAACATATCAAAATAACTTAAAAACATCAAAAATATTAATTCAAAACAAATTAAAAAATTAAAAAATTAAATTTTTAAAAAATATTTTGAAATATAAAAACAAATATTTTTTAAGGTAAATTAGCACTCTCTTATGTAAATTAACAATATTTTTTTAGTGTAATATTTATTTTTAAACTATTTTTTTATCAAATATATCAAAATAATATTTTTTTTATTTTTAATATTAGAACATTAAAATAATATGAAAACACAAAATAAATTTAAAAAAAAATAATTTTTTTAAAATATTTTTAAAATACAAAAAGAGACACTTTCCATTAATCAACCGAACCAACTTACCAAGCAATCTCCTATTTCTATGTACTTGCTAGCAGCTAGCTTCTTGTCGCATGTCAGAAAACTAAACTAGGTTTCACGTCAAAAAGCACAAGAGAAGAGAAGAGAAGAGAAGAGGAGAGGATGATAATATAAGAGGTTGGCGAATCGTAAAGCATTGAATCTACCTGATGGTTATGCTTTCCTTCCAATCCATGTGAAAATGCAATAACTAGTTTTGCATTCATTCCCCACCTAACCTAAGACTAACAGAGAAGATGCCATCAACGTATTTGCTCCACCGTCCCAGCATCTTTCCTCCTCTGCAACCTCCACTCTGGTTTTACATGGAATGATGGTGGCTCAGTGGACTGTGGAGTGGACCCAAGAAATCATTTGATTCTGATGTAACTACCCCCCCATGTGGCACTGTGGTAAAAGCACACCAAGACTCTTACAACATGTGATGCAAAGTCCTCCATGTTTTTAGTGCTGAGAGACGAGAATTTCATGCGTTCTCACCAACAATGACCCACCCGTGGATACTTGATCAACACTCCCCAGCATCCACGGCTCCAGAGATCTACCAAATCACCAACGTGATATTTAAAAACAAGAACTACTTGAGCAATGTGGCAGAAAACGAATGCCTTGAGAGAAAAACAAAGGGTAATGGAGGGCCAAAACTATCGGTTATTTTTACAAATATATTTTTTGCTTGAAAACATATTAAACTAATATTCTTTAAATTTATTTTTGGCAAAAGAATATCAATCTGAAAACACCAAAAAAAAATGAAGAAAAAAATTCAAAAAATTTTAATTTTTTTTTTAAAAAAAACAAAGGACTCTTCAAAGGCCAAAATGCAATACATGGTAAAGTTTCAAGGAACTCTCACATCCAGGAAGCATGCTCATTCAACCATCTGATTAAACAATTATGAACCTCAAGCAAACAAGGATTAATCAAAACATCAGTTAGACCACACATGAACTAGACCATGCCTATTGCCTGTATAGATCTCATTGCGCTCTTCATCATAGAAGAGAGCAGTTATGTCTTCCAAAGCTTCTGCAGCTGTGCTTCTAATCCTTGAGGCATGCCTATGCTTCTTTGAATTCTGACCGCATTCATTCTCATTTGGGAAGCTGTTGCTTGCCCTTATTTTAGCAAGACATTTCCCAGTCAAGATATTACTGATATTGATGGATCCCGCTGCATATGGATGCAAATATTGTTAGAGCTACGTTCATTTTTTCTTTATTCTAAAAACTCAGTACCAAAAGGCAGGTTATAATAAACTTGGAAAAATTGTAGAAATTTTGAAAAACTAACCATTGCCTTCAGACAAGGGATCATCAGAATCAGCCTTGCAGTAAGAAATAATGAGATCCTGATCACTTGTGATGTAAATATTATTAGTGTTGCAATCAGGATGCCACAAAAGGTGATCCTCAAAGGAAGTTACAAGCTCTCCCCGGAAGTTCCAAACAGCCACAGTTCGATTTCTAAAAGTCAGGAATAGCTGGTTTTCATATAGAAATATAAATGCAGATGGTGTCATAAACTCAGTTCTGCTAACTTCTGTTAGGTCAAAGTTGCGCACCTACAGAGAGTATTGTCAGATTTTGTGCATGGATGGAGAGATACAATTGGAAGATAACATCAATGATCCTTACATCAAGAATCTGGAGATTCTCATTTTCTTGCTTGACAAGAAGCTTCTCATTGAATTGTTCAATGAAATCCACCTTCTTATTCCGATGAAGGAGATGATTAAAAGATTTGAGAACAGTGCCATCCTCTATTGAAAGAATCTCAAGAGGAACACAGCCACTACTTTTAGTTAAAATCAACAACATGATCCCTGGACTGAAGAGAAAAAAAATAAAAGCAAACAGGAGAAAGTCTAAGCTCGTGTGAAGCAATGGAAACAGAACACTGAAATTAAACTTGTGCACTTGCATTATTAAATCTGATGAATAATCTCAAAGAAACAACACAAGACATTCAGAATCATGAAATGCATGCACCAGTCCCTGAATTACAATCCAAGTGTACGACCTATTAATCTCAAAAGAACTATAAGCTCATGCATGCAGCAATTTCAGCCCCTCTGGAATAGTGCACGAGTTTGCGCTCATGTGTACCTGCATGCACATCTCTCGTGCATTTGAGAACATGCTGCTGAGCAAATCAAAAGTTGCAAGAATGTAAAGGAACGTACCTGATCTTAATCTCTTGAACATTTTTGTCTGCTATCAAGTATAACATTGTGTAATTCTTTAGGTCAAACACCTTGTATATACTGATAGAAGGAAAGAGAGAGAAAATAAGAGGTCAAATTGAAAAACAAAAAAGCTACTTGGGTAATAATTAATAATTTCAATTGAATATAGCAATTGATGTACTTACCTATCCTGTGCAGAATATGTGAGTACTTTGCCATTTACATCATCAAACTCTACAAAACCAGGCCATTTCAGTGACTCAGATTCAAAAAGAGCAAAGCCAGCATCTGGTTGACCCCTTCGTATATATCTGGAACAGAAAGCACTGTTAGTCATAAAAGTGTAGGGCTAAACAAATTGAAACCACTAAATCTAGATGCTCTTATTTCCTCTTGGTCTTTCGTACATAATTTTGAAAGGAGGGAGGAGTGAGTGGAAGGGGGATGAGAGGCAGAGGCATGTGTAAAAAGATTCACATACTCAATCCTTGTGCTTCTGCATTTCAAGGAACTGAAATTGTCTGAGGCGTAAACTGAAACTGTAATGAGTGAATCATTGTTTTTATTATAAAACAAGCTTCGTATAACTTCATCAGGAGTGACATTCAAAAAGCATATCCTTTGGTTGGTCTCTGCCAAAAACAATAGGAATACATTACAACCCTTCCATTCCACTTTTAGATGCAAAGAGAATCAAAGATCAGAGCTGACAGTGGAAAGATAATCAATACCTCGGCTAAATGCTGCACAGACACCAGACTGTGCAAGAGCAAACACTATGTCACGAGCTGCTACAATCTCAATAATCTTTGACCTCTTTCTTAAAAAAGGCAGTACCATGGTACAGTGACCTTTTGGATCATAAGTATCATATTCCTCCTATTCATAAATTCACAGATTACATCTCACAACAGAAAGTGGGAACATCAACAATATGATGCAGAATGAAGTGCATAGTTCGATTGTGATTGGTATTGTGGTGTAAGGTGCTTTTCAAAGTGCTTTTAGCTTGAAAATGCATCAAAATGAAATTTATTTATTTTTTCATTATTGACATCAACACATCAAAGCCATCAAAAAGCACTAAAAAACACTAATTTGATGCTTTTTCAAGTGAAGCGCACACAACAGCAAAAGCTACCACACTTTCAAACACTCAACTGTTGAGGAGACATGTATACAGGAGAAATATTAATTGCTGAACAGTAGAGCCTGCTTGTAGTGCAATGCTAGCATTAAATTCCTTGAGCAGTGATTGAACTGTACGTTCTAAGTGCATCCAACAGGCATCACTATGATTTTCATACAGCATGGTTATATAGAAATGCAGTGTTGATAATGACATGTCATATTAAAGATATGTTTTCTTATTAGCAGGACTAAGAGTACCTATATATTCTTGAAAAGCAGTTCCAAACACTACAATTTAATGAGAGAGGCACAACACGTGTACCTATATATTCTTGAAAAACAATTATAGCATATTTGTTTGGTTGCTGGTTGAATTATTACTTTCAGTTATCCTGCTCACCATGAAATGGCTCAGTGTGAAGAAGGCACAAGCAAGCAGCTTCTAAACAGGCAAGCAGAATTACTTCATCACAAGCCCTCAAGGGTGTTGCAAAGGTTTGAGCTGGAAATTTCTAATTTAGAAGTTCTAGTTTCAAACGTCACTGGGAAGATGAAGTAAGAATATTTCCAAGTAGGCAGGTAAAATTTCTTCATCACTAGTCCTCAAGCACGTCTGCAAAGGTTTGAACCGGAAAGTTCTAATTTAGAAATTCCTGTTTCAGCTGTACTGAGATGGTAGGGCATTTATGGAAGAAGGGAGGGGTCAATGGGTTCCTCTACATTTCTGTTAGGATCGATGATTGATGCCTAGACACCTAACACAACATTTTATCATGGTTCGGTAATTTCCCTAAGTCCATATAACAGCCAATGTCATTATATAAAAAGAAAACTACAATCTACAACAATGGAGGAACACCTCACTCAACTCCCACTCTCTATGTTTGCCTCACATTTCTCTCTATCCCTCTGTGCTTACTACTGCAAGTTGCTGAATGGCTCTCATGCAGCTGCATCTTGCTACACTTGCTTCTTCAAATGACTTATACAACCTTTATTTATATTGAAAATGGGGAAACAAACATCCTCATTTCCATCCCAATATTTCTTCACCCAACTTTCCATTACCATCATTGTTGAGTTAGTGTGGTAGTTGAGTGCGGGCCTTTGCATCCACTTCTCAACAATCTTGAACTTGGAGACAAAAGGCACCAGACCTATCTTCTAACCTCAAAGATCTATAGAAGGTTTAAACAACTTCAATTAAGCAAGTATAGCCAGATGTAGTGGAAAGTTAGGTTAAGGAATATTGGGATAGAAATGAGGATGTTTGTTCCCCCCATTTACACTATAAATTGAAGTTGTATGAGAACCATTTGAAGAAGCAAGAGCAGCAAGATATAGTTGCATGAGAGTCATGAGAGCCATGCAATAGAGGGATAGAAAGAACTGTGAAGCAACTATAGAGAGTGGGAGTTGAGTGACGTGTTCCTCCTCCTCCATTGCTGTTTTCTCTCTATATAATGAAATTGGCTGCTCGGTGGATGTAGACAAATTGTTGAATCACTTTCAAATGTAATGTTCTTTGTCTAGACATCAATCACTAATCCTAACACTTTCTTCCTAAATACCTCCAAATTTCGATTCCACCTAAATAAAACGCTCTTCATCAAATTTCTGGCTCCTTAAGAATTCTATCTTCCTAAATACCATAACATGCATCACTCACAATTGGCATTCATACAGCTTTTGTCAACATCAATCAAGCATTTTCAAGACTAGTGTGTCCTCACTGCAACAATTTGGCAAGACCAACATTATTAGCTACAGCTACAAGTGCTGCCACTATAACTTCTCAGTGCTCATAGTGTCATTGGTATATAAGTAGCAAAAAAAATGCATCAAAGGAAGCTAGCACCCATAAAATGATGCTACGAAATATGAATAAGAGAATTACAGCTCTGACGTAACAAGAAGCACAAATTAAAGAATAAATAACTATCCTGATTTAACCTCCATTCTAACTATAATGGACAGACTTAAAATAAAACAAATTTCATCATCAACACGATTAAGACAGATGCAGAAGAAACAATAGACACACTCAGTAGAAACCCTTAAACAACAAGCAGGAAAATCAATAATGAAAATCTTAAATTCCCACAAGAATTTAAAAAAAAAGGGACAAGTTCCGAGGAAACCAAAGCCAAAAGGGTACCTGTAACCGGATGTTTCTAAAACGTTCTTGGGCATCAGTCATAGTAAAAGAACGGTCACGCTTAGAACAAATTTCCCTTCTTTGAAGCTTCTTGACACTGTTAACAAACCCATCTCCGCCACCAAAACCCCTTCCCCGTTTCTTCGCCACAACTCTTTTACCATTACAAGGCCTCGGACTAACCGTTATCCTCCTCCCTCCTCCACCATCCATTTCTCCCCGCCTTCCTCTCTCTCTCCCTCAGAGAAACAAAAAAACTTGAATAGTTCTGCTAAAGAAATTCAATTTAGCACAAACCCATCTTCTCTTTTCGTCTCTTAAACTTAATAATCGCCAAAAAAACAAAAACCCACTTTCTATACAAGAAAAAGGAACGATTCTCAGGCTGTTTTGCTTGGAATGCTACCATACAAAACGGAAGCAAATGCAGTTGCTAAGTTGCTAAGTATATATACATAAAAAAAAAAAAAATGAAGATTCGTAATGGATCAGGGAGGAAACAAGATTGGAGAAGCTTAGCTAGAAACCTGAAACGCTTGTTTCGTTTAGCGCTTGCTACCTAGGATTTTAGTGAGTTTCCCAGTTTAGGTCTGATTTCGATCTGCTTTCGAAAAATCACAATTTTGAATTTCTGTCAAATAGTTTTGGTGAGTGAAATCTTTGCTCCCCAACTGGGCCTGGACATTTTATTCTAGGCCTTTGTGGTGCTTCTTAACTCGAGAGCTGGACTTGTACAATTGGGCTTACAACCCATTTCATTTCCATAAGAACACAATTGTATAGTTTACAACCCATTTCATTTCCATAAGAACACCATTGTAAACATGAGGAATTTCAACAAGATTTTCTAACGAAGCTATATGAATTTCATTAATATGCTAGCATTTTGAGAAAAGTGTTATAAGTTCTAGTGTATGTCTCCACTAATTGGAGTTTTGGACAGAATATTTCATTAATTTATTCTAATCTTTATTTTTATGGTCCTAATTCCAGTCGAGTAAGATATTAGAATTTATCTAGACAATAATTAAGTATCAGATAATATATTTTAAAATTTTAAAAATAATTAAAATATTAAAAATTAAAAAAATTAACTATTAAAAAAATAAAATTAATATAACTAATATTTAATATTTTTTAATCCAGATTGTCAAGAAAAAAAAAAACTAATGTTAATATCTCTATAACAAACCCAAGTTTTAGAACTACTCTGAAAAAAAACACTAATCACTCATAAAAATAGGGAAAATATTGATAAAATATGGTAGAAAATAGAAAGAAAAAAAAAAAAAAAAAAGAAGGCTAACTCTCCTAAATCCTTCATGGTCTTTCTTCCTCCAATTTCATGGCACTTGACTTGGGATTCAATAATAATAATAATAATAAAACACTCCAGCACATATTTCTATATATAAAACAAAAAAACACGAAGTCAAGCATTTCCTGTCACTTTAATGTTTCTTTATGCGTCCAACATCACATCAATAAATAATCATGCTAGTCAGAAATAGGGGAACCATGCTTATCTAAAATAAACGCGGGAGAGGGAGAGAGGAACCACCAGTACCAATAGAGATTAGCAAAAGAAATAATGTATAATAAGTGACCGGTTGGAATTGTAATTATTTTTTAAAATGATTTTTATATTAAAATAATATTTTTTATTTTTTAAAAATTATTTTTAAGATTAGCGAATTAAAATTATCTAAAATATATTAAAAAATTATTTTTTATAAAATATAGTTTGCAAATCATCAACTAATTAAATAAATAAAACATCTATTTTTAATTATTTACAATAAGAGAAATAAAAAAAAAAAAGTGTTTTGAAAACAAGCAAAAAATCTTATTTTTGTACTATTATTTTAAAGATAATCATTTTATAATTTATTTTATTCATATGTATCGAGATATGTAACATGCAAATTAATTCTTTTATCTATGCATTCAAGTCAAGTCATAAATGACTAGATTTATCACTTCATAGTTATTCTTATCATCAAATTATTAAGGTTTTTTATATGAATTCTAGCTTTTTAGCGGTATGAAGTAGAAGTTATTGCTTGGCCTTTTTAACTCTCACTTGACTATTCAATTTTTATATTATTTTAAAATGAGTCTCATTTAATAAATATGTGGTTTCCTTTTCCTTCAAATCTAAAAGGAATTACAGCTCAATGTGTTTATCTTTTAAAAAAAAATTTGATTAGAATTTTATATAATACTAATGTTGTTTATTGATATGATCAAAAGATTGATATCTTCTCTCAAGTGCAGGAGTGTTGAAGTAATAAATAACCCGGCAAGACCGGGGTCGAACCACATGGAGGTTAATTATAGAAATTATAAATAATAATAATAATAATAATAATACAACAACAAAAACAACAACAACAACAACAATAATAATAAGATACCTTTAATTTATGGTAACTATTTATTTTAAATGCAGGCCTATCACATAAATAAAATGATTGATTAATG